AGATCAGTACAAAATATATTCAGAGTAAATCTATGTATGCATAATAACGATCCTATAGCTTTTGGGAGCATTCACAGGTCGATTTGTTGTATATTTATGAGATCAAATTAGACGCAATTTTTTCTTATATCTTGTCAAACGCTTGAGATGAAAAAGACTACAGACAAAAACATTTATCGAACTCCTTCGTCAGATCTTGTGGAATGTAGTACCACACAGTGAGATAAGGGGCCTGAGAAGAGATTTTTAAAGTGTCTCATATCTAGTGGTACTCATGTGATGAAACACGATATGCAGATTAAACACATTCTTCAAGTCGAATGTCACTCCACTATCTTGAAGCGAAGAAAACTCCATCCAAACAAATCATCGTTTCATCGTTCAACCAAGTTTCTAGCATTTATAAATCTAAAGATAACATTGGATCTTTCTTTTTCCTGGCAACTTTTAATTTTCGTACGCGAAAACGTTTTATCGCAATATTTGTTGTCTTTGAAGACAGCCATTTTAGCTTCTGCTTGTCGCTACAGAGATGTCCTACTTTCTTACAGCGCCACCAGGCGGATTAGTTCTGCTGCCGGTACCTCATTGTTGAATATGCATATTTAATAATGTTCATTGTTTATCTCTCTATAGTCTATACCATCACTTACTGTTAACAAGCATTATTTTAGTTGCATTCCAATTCAAGAAATAGAGTTTTCAAACGTTCTATTTAAGAAATCTGTTTGTCTGCAAGATTCAAAAAGTTTGTTGATAATCGTAACATCTGACAGTTTAACTCCGTGCATTTTTCGAAGAGCGTCGCCCCCAAGAACAACAACAACAACAAGATGTGTAGTGTAGCGGTTGGGGCCCAGTTCCTGGTTCAAAGATTTAACCGATCTCATACATGTCCCCTACCTACCACTATACTAATTTTACATTGATTATATTGATTTCAAGACAATAAAAGGAAATAATTCTGTCAAATCAAGACGGAATATCACGAAACTTTGGGGGTATACACAACAGTGTACCAACACTTAATGAAATAAATCAATGCTGAAGCTAAATTGCGAAATTGCGAAAAAAACCAAAAATGACAAATACCTGGTACCTAAAAATAAAAAAGTAATTAATTAACCGACGTATTTCTGTGATATATCAACTCGCGCCATCGGGCATATGTCTGTATTTTTTAAACTGATATCGTATATAATTAATTGGCATGTCCGTCAGAGCTTTTAAAATAAATCATTATAAATAAATTCCATAGACTGTTTTAACACTAAAAAGAGAAAAAAAGAACGTCCAATATATTATTTGTGATCAATTTTGTTTAAAACGTATAAGCAATGGCGTAAATTAACGCACTGAGTTGTGTGCGTTACAGAGCATGACGTCATCGCAGCTATCTTGGAATTGCGCAATTGAACACATTTCATGTCGGGTTAGCCTACTCGAATTGATAGAACCTTAAAATTTGCTTCAAAGAGTGTCGACACATATCAGGAGGAGGATAATAATATATGCATTTTCAAAAGCTGTGAAGTTGTCTAGTAATTTTTCCCAGAAAAAGGGTGGAATTTGTTAGGCCCTTACATTAAAATAGTTTGTGATTTTCTTATTACCGTTTGGTATGATCGCCCAATTTAGAATGGATGACATCAATGACGTAATTACGATTTCTCCCCAATAACGACATACAAGAAATAAAGAGCCCTGACTGGTCCAGCAAAGCTAGTATGAAGGCCTAAATAATTAAACATCTTAAGGGCTTGATGTGGATGCATTTCATGTATGTAAATATGTATAATTACCCAACCGAGCCGAGTGATTTAGTTTTCTTATATTATCATTGTATTCTAATGTTACAAGTTAATCCGCCCACTTCCTGATCATATTTGGAGTCTTCCTTAAAACCCAAGACAGCCAAGAATCGTTTGGGAAGTGTAGTATTAGGAGAACCTTAAATATAAGAAGAATGGGGCTACAGCAAGTTTATCCAGACCTGTGAAATAAACTGATGAGGACAATATAATGACAATATTTTAGCGACAATCCTATAGATGTATATCTATGTATATACATGCCCCATAAACTGACCCTGAGTAGTAATCCCTTGGGTAGGAGGGGGCTGGATGGCCAAATGGTTAGCACGTGCGCGGTGTATCATAAGGCCTGTCATTGTGTCAACTGGCGTGGTTTCGATTCCCCGGTTGTACGTGACAAGGAGTAGGGTTGCCTGTCCAACATCGTGGGTCTTCTCCGGGTCCTCCGGTTTCCTCCCTCTGCTAAAGACCCCTATGCGCAAGAGAATTATTGAAATGAAATTAAACCATATGTTAGTCCCGAAATGACGTAGTCTGTGTCGAGTGGACGTTAAACCCCATCTCTCTCTCTCTCTCTCTCTCTCTCTCTCTCTTTCTCTCTCTCTCTCTCTTTGGGTAGTGAAGACACATCCCTTCCACGAAACTGGCCGGTAAAAGGCAGCACGTTTCGCCACACTCGGCTCTGTATCCGCATCTTTCGATGGTGTATTTTGTATTAAGAACCTATTCACGTGGTGTTTTCGGTGTACCTGTATGCACGTAGATCATAACGAGACCTATTTCAGTTTTCTTTGATTATCATTTTTCCATATCTATAACTTTTGTAGACTGAACTTCAAATACCAGATCACATTGACTTCTGTTACATAATAAAGGTTATATATACATTGTAAAGGTTAATATTGTACTTTTCACATTTGATATTTTCTCTATTGGATGCAAAACGGAAAATAAAAAACGCCAACAAATGTTAGGGATTCGAGATAAGTTTTTTTTCCTCTATTGGATGCAAAACGTAAAATAAAAAACGCCAACAAATGTTAGGGATTCGAGATAAGTTATTTTTCCTTAAAGGCACTGATCGACAGATATATGTTGTGTCATGACCATGAGTTAATGCATCTTAGTCAAAAGGTGTCTAGCTTGATCGTTAATTAAGAAATCAAAATTAAAAAAATGAACTGGAGAGAGAGAGAGAGAGAGTCAAACGTCCACTCAACACAAACTCGATCATTTCGGGACTATCACATGGTTCAATTCTATTTCAATATTTCGCTTGTGCGTAGGGGTCATTAGCAATGGGAGGAAACCGAAGGACCAGGAGAAAACCCACGAGGTTGAACAGGTGACCCTATCCTTTGTCACGTACAACCATCTCAGTCGACTCAATGACAGACCTTATGATACAACGCGCCCGTGCTAACCTTTCGGCAGTCTAACCCCCCCCCCCGAACTGTAGGTAATCCCAGGGTTTGTTTCATTAGAATTAATAAGTGGTCATTAGACTTTAGCTGGCAATAGGTTGTTTATTATATGGGTTATAGACGAACCAGTCGTAAACCAAAACGGCACCAAAACTTGGTCAAAATCGATATAACTTTTAACCAAAATGCAATAAAAAAAGAACCCAAAACAACTTTTAAATGCGAATCCAATAATAACAGATTTCGAGATTATAAGTAACAATGAATTGTTTTGGTAATATCCTGAGTGTATCCTTTGGAGAGAAAGTCAAATGTTGCGAAATTTTCAATTAATCATAACTTTGCACATACCAATCGGAATTGAACCTTTTTTGAACTGATGTTCCTATTTCACAATTTTGTAGTTTGCAAGGGGTTATAAAATAATCACTAAAATGAAGACCATTAAAATAGTTTTAATCTTTGGATAGCCGGGAACAGTGTTGATCGGTGTTAGTGCACGTTCTATGCATTTTATATTCGGGAGTTGAATAACTGTATTTGAAAAAATTATAATCTTTTGAAATATATGTCCCATTTTTTATTATTTACCGCACATCGCAATGCATGCACAGCCCAGCGGGCACAGGCCCAGGGCCCCGCGCTTCATGGCAAAAAGAGAAAAAATTCAAATTCCAGATAAAAGTTTCACGGTAATCGATCTAGCGGCGCGAGGTCGGAGACTGAGCTATCCCCCAATCTTCTCTGTCAAATTCCACTCGTACTCGGTGGTCGGTTTAAGCTTCTAGACTTGTATGCCATTGGGAACTGAATAGATTTCGTATTTGATCAGATATTATGTAATTATTCCTGTATTACAGACCGTTTAATTTTGTGTTACGCATGCGTGCCATTCGAAAGGGGCCCGGCGATTGCAGTCAGGCCCAGGGCCCCGCTCCGGTTAAGCTGGGCTTTGAATGCATGGCGTGTGTCCGTCTTCATTAAGCCAATTGGTACCTAAAAATAGGATGCTAAACCTCATTTCATATCAGATCTCGGTGTTTTATGTGTGTATAGCGAAGATGGTGATCACTTTAAATGTTGTCAGAAATTATCTACCCCCTTCTTCATCTTAACGTGATTAGGCTTACTATATACTATCATAAACTACATTAATAAGTCTAGGGAACATGATTAGGCTGACTAACGACTGTACTATACTAAACTACATTAATTAGTCTAGGGTATTTACAACGCTGTCGATGACCTTCTAGACGGTTATCTTTAAAATTAAAGTGTACAAGATTAATCTGAGATTCATCCAATACTAACATTCGAACACAGTCTGGGCTGGAAAGAGAAATGTTGTTCAACTAGTCTGTCATCACACAATGGACCAATTCAGGCAAAACATATATCACTAGCGATGATTTAACTCTAGGGTAAAAGAAAGTCTATAAATTTTCCAAGAGCCATGAAAATCAAATTACCTTTAACACCTATATTATGACATTGAGTTTAATTTGAAGGAAATCGATCACCTAATCGAGTTTCTATTCTACATCGCTCCCCAAATACTAGAAAATGTCATTGGGCTGAATATGGAATTTCTAATCTCATTTTTACGAGTACGGTTTGTGCCATGAGCTTCTGGAACTAGTGCGCACAATCAATAAATAATGGGGAAATAAAGCAGACGTGTCGTATCACGTGGTTTCTACGTCGTATCTCGCGCTGTACTATTGCTACAACCGTCCAAAATATAACTAGATATCAGATAGAAAGCTTGGTGCTACACGCCAAGGTGTGGTTACTATTTGTAAACATTAGATAACTTTATAAACATTTAGTCATACATTCTGAAAATGTAAATTCAAGTAACCACACCGGTAAAATTAAAGTGCTCGATTCTAAAAATTGGAAAATTAATTTTAAAGAAAAATAAGGATTAGGCTAACAAAGGAATTTTAAAATGAATGTAGGGAAGTTATTCCCTATTAAAGAGGGAAGGAAGAATTATCTGATGAATGTATCCAGTATGGTGGACGAGTCGTCGAGCCAGTTGAAAGTTGATGTAGCGCGGGAAACTGTATCGCTATATACCGCGGTTATACTGATGGCTATTATTATTATTGTTGGTTGTGTTGGTAAGATTTTAAACTTTTTAATTTGTAATAAATGATATTATTGCATGTATGATAGGGACAAGTAATTCTATTGGCGATATTATCAAGTCGTAAGTCTTATTTAAATTATACATACATTTCCTTCTATTTTATATTTCGACTGGACTCCACATCAACTTACCAATCAAAACCTTTCAAACAGAAATTTTCGCAAACTATATTTAAAGATATTTGATTGTTATTCCAAACAAGGTCAAAAGTATTATTATGTTGTTGTCACAGGTCGAGTACGCCCCTTTTCCAAGACATGTTTTTAGATGTTAAACTGCTGAACATCCGAATAAATGGAACAAACTAATATCTAATTGTAATAGAATTTTGCCAGTTTTTCGTCATCTGAATTCATCTAGTTGCTCATGTGGGACGGAAAAGCGAACACCCGTGTGTATGTACCCGTGTGCTCATAAAAGAATCGGCGAAACTTGGAATTCGACGAAGATTAGACATATAAGAAACGTCGCTATCCTCATAACACACTGTATGACATATAATCGTCTTCATTAGGCCAGTCAGTACAGAATAGTAGGACGTTAAAGATCCCTTGATAGATGGAATTCGATGAACAGTAGACAGAACCGCCGGTGTCCGTGCAAAATTCACCACGGAATAAACGACACAAGTACTGTGTTAAATCCAATTGCATTCTACAAGTTAAAGATTGAAATGAAATGCGGTTTAACGTCCTACTGTTCTGCCCCGACTGAGCTAAAACGCCATACAGTGGTGCTACGGCCTACTCTTATATCCAACTGCCAAATGTTCTTTTACGTTCACGTCAATGTGTACAGGGACCTCGGTTTTAGTCCCATTCGTTCGACTACACGTTGTCCCGTACCAGAGACCCTCTGCCCTGCACCACTAACAAGCGAAAACCACACTGAAAAATTTCTCGGCCAACACTGGGATCGAACACGAGACATCCAGGTTAGCGAGCCAACGTCTTACTAACTGAGCCACCGCGTCTCCACTTAGGGATTGGACCATTCAGATAGGCCAAAAAAAGGCTCCATCCGTGTACCTGTTTACATGCGCGTAAAGTACACGAGTAGGCGGCAAACCTCTCTCTCTTCAATCGCAGGGGGTTGGGTGGCCGAAAAGTTATGGCGTGTGCGTTTGATAATAAAGTCTGTCATTATGACAAGTGGCGTGACTTCGATCCCTTGCTTGTACGTGACAAGGAGTAGGTCGCTTGTCCATCCACGTGGGTTTTCTCCGGGTCCTTCAGTTTCCTCCCACTGCTAAAAGACCCTTATGCGCTAGAGAATTATTGAAATAAAAATGAATCATATGTTAGTCGCGAAATGACCTAGTTTGTGTCGAGTGGACGTTAAACTCTCTCTTCCATCGTATTTTACAAAAGTTACCTATATGTTAGTCTCATAATGCCTGAAGTATAATAATATTGCCGAGACGTTAAATGTCATTCTATTACAGGGAATGTGATTTTTTTCCTGTTCCATTATAATAATTCCTGTAAAGCAAAAAGATGCATTTTTGCATGTTATGATTAGGCAATCCTGATTTATTTGTGCAAATTCTACAGGAAAATCTATATTTTTTTAATCGTTAAGAAAGAATGAAAACGATGGCATTTAGAGATTATTGGACGCCTTCATTAGTTAATGGTCTGTTCATGTTCTATGCAATAGAATGTCAGATTATTTTTGAATAGCTGAATGATAATTAAACCAACCAGAAAGTTTCCTCTATAGTTAAAATGTCGTGAGTTACGTTTTTTTAAAAAAAAGTACATAAACTAATGTCACGCGACCTTATATTTTAGCAAGTGAGCGCATTATTAACAATATCTAGACAATATCTTGTGGTTATATTCTGTAGTATGGAAACCGAATATATATTCTGATTGGCTGTCTGTTGCCCTCGGGCATATTATGAAAGCCGCCGATCATCATTTGCATTTTTCGGACAAGACAGTTCAATAAACTAAAATCTCAAGATGTTCACGGCTAATACACCCTTAACTTTATTCAAATTGTTTTGGTTTTTTTTTAATATTTATTAATTCAAAACATAAAATCAAAATACCAACGATAGATGATTTGGAATTCGATATAAGAGTAGGCCGTAGTGCCGCTGTCTGGGCAAAATTTCCCCCATACCACACTGTATGGCGTATGTCCGTCCCCATTAGCCCAGTCGGTGCAGAGCAGTAGGACGTTAAACCCCAATTCATTACCGCGACTTAGAACATATCATTTGACAGTAATGTTTCCATTTCAACATAACAGTATAACCGTAACCTTCTTGGAAGTAATTGAAAAGTTGTTGAAGACACGCGATTTTTTTTCTCCATTTCCAATCTGCTCGTGTTTAAATCTGGCCATGATTTCTAGTTCGACCAAAAACGAATATAATCCATTTCTTACACAGTATATTTGACCTCAGTTTTGAAAATTAAAAATACGCAGTCTTCGTGATTTCAATCTCGTATCGCTGAATTGACTGGGGTAAAACATGACCGAACTAATTCATTCATTTTAAAAACCTGAGAAAATAAAGCAGCGCCTTCGTGCCTAAATTGTAAATTAGAAAACGGTATCTATACCGACAGATAACTCTAATAAACAATAATCCTTTGAATCTGTCAGTCATCGTTAAACATAATTAAGTGGGTGCATCACGTACGCGGATTGTTATCTTTCCCTTTCACAAAATAATATAAAGTTATCGTAGGTTTGCAGTGGTATCGATAAATTTATCCAGCCTACAATTCTCAAGAACTTGCCATTTTAAAGTGCTCTTCCTAGATTTCACAGGGTACCCGTTGATAAAAGTGAGGTTGAGCAGGTTAAACGACAAAATGAGAATACATATCCTGAATAGCTAGTCTTAAATTTTCAGATCACAGTATTGAGCACCAAGAAGTTCCTAACTCATTTATGGAACTCCACTGTTCAGCTGTGAGTGGCTTATAGCCCCGTCAGACCGGGATGGCGTCCTTACTGCGCTGCTACGGCGACGGGAATTAGTCTTAAGAGTCCGTCAAGATCGACATAATCGTGGTAAAAGCTTGGTGGGAACGCCAGATATCGCGCTGTGGTGTCCATGATCGCCAATGATCGCCGAGTCACGGCGTTTTTTTTAGCATGTTCAAAACAAACGCCAAGCTGTGAAAAACGGCTTTTTTCAAGTTTGTACATTTTTGGGGCATTTTCTCCCGCTGTGTTCACGTTTACCGGCGACCTTGTACATTTTCCGGTCGCTGTACGGTCGCAGCAGCGCGGTAAGGACGCCACCTCGGTCTGACGGGGGTATTAGTAATCGCGGAAATCACACACCAGCTATAACTTATGCAGGTATAAAAGATGGCTACCTAGGCACCTAGAAATAGTGTGAAATTTGGGGACTTATCGCCCAATATATTATATGAAAACTAAGAGTTTGTTTTTCTGTGATAAAATATGACAAAGGTTCAGTTAGTAGTACATGACTGTAACAGATTTACATGGGTCACTGACTTCGACTTAACCCGTTTGATTCACGTCGTTGTACAGGAGAAGGTTAAAGTATACGAGGACCTCATAGATTTATACAGGACTGGGATTAAAGGTTTCCAAGATTCTCTCTCGCAAAAGTAACCAATTTTATTCAGTAATATATCTTGGACGATTCCTTTAAGCATTATTAAAATGTCATGTACAATACATCAAAATCTTTATCCTGGGATTCTAACTCAGTAGACAACTCCACAATGTTAATACCGATTTATATCAGACCCGCAACTAGCCTTAATAGCGAGATTTCACTGTATTAGCATAACCAAGAACCTTTAACACTGTCTTTTAAAATATTTTTGAAAAAAATCACAATTTATGAACCAAAATCATAACTATTTATAAATTTAGGTTACTTTCGTTATCTCTTTGGGTCGTTGTATATAGAACGGATAAACTTTTGCAAATTTGGAATAACATTGCTATATTAAAACCTTTAGTGTAATCAGCGTAACGGTAACCTCTAAGATATTATAATTACAACACATCCGCTAATACTGTACTTGATGCCTCCCCATGCAAGAAATCTTCGTTTTAAATTATTACATTATTAAATACAGTCTTCTGTTAAATTTGATAAAACTTTTTAATAGACCATGCGTTCTATTTATTAGTAGAAGTAATCCTTGGATAACATTCATTCATTTGCATTTTTTATATTCTTCTACTTAAAACTCTGAACTTATAGCAATGTAAATCATTTTTCATACTGATAATTTTGAAAGTATTGGCGCGGGTTTTGCGAAATTTTATACTCGACATGTCTGGAAATCTCACTTGTATCTTGTGTGCTTTAAAATGTGACACGAGAAAAGATAATTTAATAGATTAATAACATAAAATGTCAAGATGCTCATAACTTAGCCCACTCTAAATTGTATTCAAAATGATTTTTTGAATCTTTATTAATTCAGAACATGAAATCAAAATCTCAGCGGTAGATAATCTCATGGCATGGATTCCATCGGATTTAACCATATCCCGTCAATTGATCGTATCTTTGTAAATACCGAAGAGAATTCAACAATTTTGGATTAGTAATCCTTTCAGAGATTTCACAATATTGTTGCTCGCAAATTCTTCAAATAAAATGATATTCTGAGACGTTAATCGGATTAAAAAGTGGCCCATCCAACAGTTTCTATTTATAGCTTGTCTACAGAGGAAGTCGCATGTTGTGAAATTTTCAATTTATCATATTTTTTGTATATATTAAAAGGAATTGAACTATTTTTTTAGATCGTTGTTCCTTTTAGATAAATTTCACAATTGTGTAGTTTGATGTTATTTAAAATCTCTCAAAGGACGATCAAAGACTTTGAACTATTTCGGGACATGCATCTTTATTTCTTTACTCACTTACGTGCCTAGCTCTATATCCGTATCACTTACAAATTGCCTAAGAAAATCGTTGGTGTACTCTAGGTTTCAGAGAGAGAGAGAGAG